CTCTCTCTCTCTCTCTGATGTGTGTGTGCACATCGCCCTGGATGTATGTACAGCCCAGGTAGCTGGTCTAGGGGAGAGCATTTTAGGTTAGAAGTCTGAGATGGGCATTCTGATCTCAGCTTCAGGACAAGTTTACTCTGGAATGCTGGGGGAATCATTTAATCCTCCTGGACTCATTCCCTTATCTGTGAAATGTGAAAATGATATGCCTCCCTCTTCAACAGCTTGCCACCAGTTTCTACTCTAATAAGGCCATTGAGAGAGTCATGTGAGGTTAAAGAAAAAAGCACAGAACCAATGCTATAATTATATCTAATGTTGCTTAAAAGTGGGTGGGAGTATCTAAATGTGTGTAAGAGAGAACGGACTATGTGTGTGTCCTGAGGGTGCGTGTTACTGTGTGGTATCCATGTGTGGGAGGGTGTGTAGCGTTAGAGCATATCATTGCTGGAAAATAATAATAATTATGGATGACATCTACTGAGCACTTCTGTGCCAGACACTCTTCTAAATACTTATATGTTGTACAACATTTAATTCTCAGAACAATTCTATGTGGCAGATTCTGTTACTATTTCCACTTAGGATTGAGCAAAATGAAATACGGAAATTTTAAGTAACTTGCTCTATGTCACACAGCTAGTATGTGATAGGTATAGAGGGGATTTGAACCCAGACCTCTGATTCAAAGAGCCTGAGCTGCTGCCTGTGTGTGTGTGTGTGTGTGTGTGTGTGTGTGTTTAGTCTCAGAAGGTGATTGAAGTTACCTGAGAGGATCTGAGAGAGGACATGTGATGGGAAGTTAGGGATGGCCCAGGTTTCCTTTTCCTAAAGGATCAGTCTCCCTCTCCTTGCCGTCTGCCTCAACCAGGATTGACAAGCCCAAGGCCCTGTCTCTACTGCTCCATGCTGCTGACATCAGCCACCCAACCAAGCAGTGGTTGGTTCATAGCCGCTGGACCAAGGCTCTCATGGAGGAATTCTTCCGCCAGGTAGCGTGGCGTCTTTGTCCACTCCCTGCGCACGGGGCCCTCTCTCCCCCTTTTTCTCCCAGTTCCCTGCTCCTACTCCTGATCTTCATTTAGCTGCCTGTAGCTTCTAACCTGACCTCAAACCCGTGGGATAAAATGTCATCATCCTAAAAGCTGAGCAGTAGCTGACGATAGGTGTATCCCATTTGCATGATCACTCATTTCCGGGTCACAGGCACAGAAATGCCTCTTCTCCCACGACCTCCTCCCACGCCCAGCTGCACCCCAGATCTTGTAGACTGCGGTATCCTCTCCAGCGTTCCCACTCTGTGTTCTCCCCCAGGGTGACAAGGAGGCAGAGCTGGGCCTGCCCTTTTCTCCGCTGTGCGATCGCACTTCCACTCTTGTGGCACAGTCCCAGATCGGTGAGTGTCCTCCCGGCAGTGGGGAGAGGATTGGGAAGGGAAAAGAATGCTCTCTGGGCCCGTGCCAGGACTGCCCGAAGTTCCCATCCCTCAAAACTGTTCTTCCTAGAAAGGCAAGCCTGCTCTGCTAGAGTGTGGGGTCCTGAGGTAGAAGGCTGGGGGTGTGGGGAGTGTGATGGAATTTTCTGGGGTCACAAGGGCATGACCTAAAGGCTGCCCCCATTGGGAACTTTGCAACCCCAGCTTATTCTGTTTTACATGCAGCCAAGGGTCACAGCCATGCCAGTCATATCCGCTATTCAGCCTTCCAGGTAAGAGATCTCCATGGTATTACCCTCTTCACTGCAGGTTTCATTGACTTCATTGTGGAGCCCACATTCTCTGTGTTGACTGATGTGGCTGAGAAGAGTGTCCAGCCCCTGGTGGATGAGGACTCCAAGTCTAAAAACCAGCCCAGGTGAGGAAGGCCGGTGGAGCCAGGTCTCCTGGTTCTGGGGGAGGGAAATTAGACTCACAGAGAGGGCTTATTGGCCTGGAGGATACACAGCCATGGTGGGGGTAGTGGGAAAGCTGGCTACTCCAAATCTGGGAGTCTCTTTGCTGTGTGTCACACACAGGGGCGGAAGGATGGGACCATGGGACCAGAAGGGTGGGACCTGCACCTGTGTTCCTGGCCACCATATTTTTGTCTCTTCCATTATTAGCTCTGTCTTCATTGCCTTTCTGCTAATCTTGTTTCTCTTTTCCTTCTAGTAAGAGGGAAGGGGTGGAGAGGGAAGGGTGAAATTGCGGGGTGAGGGACAGGGACTCGGAGGGTAACTAGCAGATGGAAAAGAGGATGAGGCTGCCTAAGCCTCCTCCTGGTCTTCCATCCCCTCCATGCCGAGGGCTGTGAAGGCAGTTCTGGAGTGGGCTGGGTCTCACCTCTGGAGTGGTGGGGTGGGGGCTGCCTCTAGCTTCCAGTGGCGCCAGCCTTCTCTGGATGTGGAAGTGAGAGACTCCAACCCTGATGTCGTCAGCTTCCGCTCCACTTGGACCAAATACATTCAGGAGAATAAGCAGAAATGGAAGGAACGGGCAGCAAGTGGTGGGTACAATTGTGGGGGATGAGGCCCTGGGGGGAGGGCAGCTAGTGAAGCAGGAGCAGGCCCATTTTCTTTAAGCCTCTAGAGCAACCCTTTGTGTGACCCTAGATTTGGGAATGGAGCTGATCAGACTAAAGTTATATCAGGGAAAGGACTGACTAGCTGATTGGCTTGGACTGTTCTAGAATGAGGCCTGGAGAGAGGATAGGGACAGCCATATTCCACACCCCAAGCAGCCCTATACACACTGTGGTCTGTGAATGGTGCTCCTGAAGATTTGGGTAACTTGGTGGCCCTGACTAGGAAACCTCTTCCTTTATGTGGGAGCCGAAGGTTGTGAATTTTAGCAAGGCTGGAGAGGCTCTCCCAGGTGGGCAGGGGTTGAGTGTAGCTCAGCTTGAAGGCAGGAAGATGCATGAACATGCCTTACTTTCCTCCACATACTCCTTGGGTTCTGGGGAACACTACTCCTTGGTCTGGTCCCAACTTCCTTCATGCCCCGCTGCAGGCATCACCAACCAGATGTCCATTGATGAGCTGTCCCCCTGTGAGGAGGAGGCCCCGTCCTCCCCTGCTGAAGATGAACACAACCAGAATGGGAATCTGGACTAGCCAGGGGCTGGCCCAGGTGAGCCTGTTATGGTGGAGAGGGGACAGTCTTGAGGTTGTGCGGGGAATAGGGTCAGCTGGGTGTCCAACATGGCATCTCTGAAGAGCCATCTCTGGGATTCAAAGGATGTGAGGTCCTTCCTCCTTCCTTCCATGCTGAAAAGTAGAGGGGGTGAACATGTGGAACTGAGCCAGGGTGTGAGTGAGAAGCAGGGACATCCTTCCAGCATTTCTGTCCCAGTCCCTGCAGGAAGAAAGCAGGTAGCTCCTCAGAGCAGGGTGGGGCCTGAGCAAGGCTACAGCCAGCCTGTAGCACCTTTGTGAGGGTTTGGGAAAAGGAACCAGCCCGGGCACAAGTCTCCGCGAGGTCGGTCGGCGCGACTTCGATTGTAGGCCCTGCTCACACCTTGGCTGGGCACAGCATGTTTTACACAACTGTATGTGGGACTGAGTGGGGATCCGGGCGGGACTTGGAGAGGGTAAGTCAGGCTGGAGGTAAAGGCAAAGATCGGAGCACTGAGGCATCTCCTGCTTTCCCCAGGTCCTCACTGAGCCCAAAGTGTTTGATGTCATCAGCACCATCCATCGGGACTGGCTCCCCCATTTGCTCCAAGGGAGCATGGAGATTGAGGAATGGACAACCCACCCAAAGGCCAAATGCCAGAGATTGTGGGGTTGGGGAAGGGTCCCTCCCCACCTGACATCCATTGGGGCACAAGACTGGGGAACTTCAGGCTCCCAGTGGCCACTGTGTCCATGGCCCTGCCTCTGGACTCCCCCCATGGCCAGATGGCCGGCTGGGGAGGGGGAGCTTCCTGGAGGCTTCCCAGGGCCTGGGGAGAGCGTCAGAGATGCCAGCTCCCTGGGCCCTCCCCCATCCTTTTTGCCTCCAAGTTTCTAAGCAATACATTTTGGGGGTTCCCTCAGCCCCCCACCCCAGATCTTAGCTGGAAGGTCTGGGTCCCCTTTTCCTCCCCTGGGAGGGGCTGGAATAGGATAGAAAGCTGGGGGGTTTCAGAGCCCTGTGTGTGGGAGGGGAGTCGGCTCTTTCAGGGCATGGTATCTTTCTAGGGCCTGGGAATGCGGGGGACGGCCTCTTTACCCCAGACCTGCACTGCTTCAGCCCTACCCCCAGCCCGACACCCTGCAGTCTTCCCTCTCTCCCATTCTGAAATGGTGACTGGGGGAAGAGAGGAGCCATTGGGGCCGGGGGCCAAGAGGAGGCCTTTCCTGGGGTCCTCAAGAGCTTGGGACTGGTCTAGGCCGCTGGGGCTTGTCACCTGCTGGCTGAGGTCTGAGCCCTTTGCCTCCTTCTCCCTGAGGCTGGGAGGCCCTCATCCGACTAATGTCTGTAAAGTGCTTTGAGGTCTCCCCAGCAAAGCACCTTCAGGATGCATCTTTTGAGCACAGGCAGGAGAGACCAGCTGGGTTAGGGTCAAGGGTGCATGGCTGGGGGTGAGGTATAATCCAGCAATACTGTGTTGCTAACAGAGGGTCCCTTCCCTCCCCTCCCCTCCCAGCACAGGCCCAGCTGCAGGCACCAAGAGGCCTCTGCCCTGTGACAAGTGGGGAGTGGTGTGGAAGGCAGATGGGGAGGGGCTCAGGGCTGCTACTGTCATGTCGCGTGAAGAGCGCCCAGATAGGCCCCCTGCCCCTACCTCTCCTCAGGCTCCTCTCACCCCACCTTGTCCTAGGAAAGGCCCAAGTCCAGGTGGCTTCTCTCCTTTCTTGTAAATACCAACCATGCATTTGTACAGTGGACCCTGTTCATGTGAAGTCCATATCCATGGTCTCCTAGACCTGTTCCTCCTACCCCACCCAGAGTGGGGCAGAGACGCATGTGACTCACCCCTGCCCTTGGTCTCCCAGAACCCTGCTATAGTCAGAGCTCAATAAAGACGGAGACCAGGCCTGGCTGTGTGTGGTGTTCACTGGGTGGAAGTCCGCCATCATCTTCACGTACACTGTCTTTTAAGTTCGATAAAACCCTGGTGCGGTTGGTGTGCTCCCTGTTATATAGATAGAGGGGCAAGCTGAGACTCAGAGAGGTGAGGTCTTGCCGGAAGGCACACAGTAGGGAGGGCAGAAGTGGAGCCTTCCACTGCTGAGGTCCTGTTTTCTCTCCATCACACTGCTTCTAAAGAAAGGAGGGGTGAGTCTTGCCTTCCCTCCTCCCTTCTCCCCTCCACCACCTGGAAAAATCAAAAGCCGTGGGCAGGAGAGGCCTGGCTGTGGTGTCTGAGGAAACTTTCTTCACTTATGCTCAGCTTTTGTCTTTTATCCTGGCCCCTCCGTATCTAGGACAAGGGGGAGGGGTTCCCAGCGAGGGCTTCTTTGTTAATACCCACTCTGTTCTCAATCCATATTTACTAACGGGTTGGAATAGGGCAGGTGGTCTCCTCACAGTTGGAGGAGGGAACACATCCTGAAGCTTGGGAATCCCTGAGGCTTGGTGGGCAGGCAAAGAAAGGCATTCACACAACATCACACTGGCTCTTTCCCATGGACCAAGAGCCAGGGTGCAGTTCCCCATGTTGTCCAGCAGATGGCGTCCATAGCACAGTCACCGCTGGACCGGCCTTAGAAAACTTCAAGTTTCGAAGCTGCAGGGCAGGCCTGCCAGGTGGTGGTCTTTTCTTCAATAACAAAAGAGAATCTGGACCATCCTTCCTTCTTGGTACCCTGGAAGTTAGTCCTTCCACCGATCTGACCCCTACTTCTCTTCCCGCAGCAAGTAAGGGCAGGGTTGGGGGAAGAACCCCCTTTGCAAGGCTCCTGCCCAGCTCCCCCAGTTCTCTTCCAGAGGCAGCTGGTCAGAAGGGTAGAGGGCTGTAGCGAGGGCAGGATAAGACGGGAGAGAGAAACGACTCTCCAACTTGGAAAAGAAGGAAAATGCCAAGGACCTAACACCAAATTTATCACTTTTTAAAAACAAGAGATTTTCCCCAAAAGTGAAGAAATAAGAAACAAATCCAGTGTCCACACACTCCCAACTGCAGTCTTGATTCCAGGATACCTCCTTCACTCTCAGATCTGTTGTGGGGCAAGGGAGCAGAAAGCGAGGGTGAGTGAGAGGCCACAGGGCCTGTTGTCCCCTCCCCTGCTGGTCTGCCCAACCATCCTGTTTGTCAAACATCTGACTTCCGATGTCTGACACGAATCCCTGCCCCTTGTCCAGTCTACGCAGGAAAGGGAAGACTAACATCAAAGCTCACGGGGTTATTTCATCAATGCTTCCACTCCAGGCAGGACCACGGCTCACCTAGCCTGAACAGGTGAGGCTCTCCCTTTGGGTTCCAAATGCCCTTTATCAGAAAACCCATGGTCTACCTCCATCATCTATTCCAGGAGCCAGAAGTCCTAACAGAGTCTACCCTCAATCCTTCCTGCTGCAGCTTCTTGTTTGTCCATCAGAGGACAAGTTTTTCATAGAGAATAGCTCTGCAGTGACTGCAGCTAGCGCTTTATTCCCCTTTCCCTGACCCCAGCTCCTCGCCCTCGCCGTTATCCACACAGCCTGCTCTCCGGTAGACAGTACCCAGTCCTGACGGCTCACCGAGTTGGCTCCCTGGGCATCCGATGGTGGTATATGGGTTGAGGGTTCCTCTGTGCTGGGTTTCTCACTGTCCCTTTCCTGAGTTTTTGGAGTGGATTCTGCAGGCTCTACAGAGGGAAAGTGGGGGGTGAGAGAGAGAGGTGGCATTCAGGAGGGTTTGTAGAGAGGGCGGTAGTTTTGCTCACCCCATCCTATACCCCAGTGACCCCTGAGAGGAGCCAAGACCAAGCTGAGGCAACTGGGCAAGACCAACAGAGTTTTCTCTGAAATCATTTCCTACTAGAGGTTCACTACGCTTTTTTACAAAAATTGTATCTGCAATCGGAAATTGAAAACAAAAACAAAACAAAAAAAACCTCTCAAAAAAAGTTCAAAAACTTGAGTAAAGAATCAATGTGTGGCTCAACCTGATGTGAACTGATATGAAGCTATTTATAGTCTATTTATTCCACTTAGTGGGACCACTCATTTCACTGGAGAAATATCAATGTGTTTGATTACAGTGTGCTCTGCTGGGGGTATTATGTAACATATAGTATACACACTATCGCTTCCATAAAATGGCAAAAATTCTGACTTCTGGAATACATTGGAATAAGGGACTAAGGACATGTATTAACAGCACCCCCAGCAGCTCCCATTTGTTGCATGCTTTGTATGTGTCGGCTACTGGGCAAAGAACTAGTCTCATTTATTGTCACAAACAACCCAGTGAAATAGGTACTATTATTATCATTGTATGGACTGAGTTTCAGTAAGTTGCTCAAGGCCTCTGGGCTGGTAAAGGGCAGAACTGGGGTTCTGGCCTGTGAGTACCATTCCCATTACGGTGCCCCCCCAAATCAGCCACAACAGGGAACCCTGAAGTCTAGTTAGAAGGGTTTAGAAGGGGTCATTCAGGAAGGAAAGATGAAGAGATACAAATACATGTGATACATGCAGATATATCCGTATTCTGAAGCTAGTTTCTGGCTACTCCTAGATCCGTCCCCACAATGGATACGTCTTGCCTCCCCCTGGGCTGGCCCCCCACCCTCTGTCCTGAACGTACTGTGTGCTTTCCCAGAGGTGCCCAGCCTCGACTCCGCTTCCGTGTCTGTGATCCCAGGTGGGCAGGTCTCCTGGGTCCCTGTGCTCTCAGCAGCTCTCTCAGGCTCCTCTCCCTGCTGCTGTTGCCCCAGGTGATGTTCGACCATCATCTGGAGCTCTGGGGAGCACAGAGAAAGGGCGGGAACATTGGACATGACTGCCCAGAGCCTCCTCTGTGGACCCTCAACTTCGACAGCCCCATTAAAGGGTCATCACACACTGCTGGTGTGGTTTGACTTTCTCATCTCCTGAGATCAGAACAAGGAAGGACATTTGCTGGGCAATAAGGAAGGACTAAAGCTAGACAATAAAATGTACTTCCTTCAAAGGTAAGAAAGGTATAGAGAAGAGCCTTTAGGAAAAAAGATCCTCGTAACTTGCTGGGAGACTTAGTCTCCCTTGGGGGCAGGAGAAAAGACTCCGGTTAGAGCCAAGCAATATTTGAGTACCTTCTATGCTATGCAGCAGGCTGGGTGAGTTCACATATTTTCTTTAACTTAACTGCCATAGTAAGGTAGTAGGTGGGGCTGAGTAGGTTAAGCAGGTTCTCCCAAGCCAGCCAGCTAGTCCCAGGCAGAGCTGGAATCCAGCCCCAGTTTGTCTAGCAATAACTCCACTATAATAAAGACAAAGTTAATGACTTCCCACGGATTCCTTCTGAAAGGGTCATTAGGTCTACCGCACAGCCTTGGGCACAGAGGGGAAGACAGGAACGGGAAGGATCTTCCAAACCTTTCATTGTGGGTGTGGTCCGAGTCACCTTCTTCCGTTGCCGTGGAGACATGGCCAAAGTGGACTGTGAAGGACACAGAGCACAGGTGGGTGCCAGCCCTCTCCCACCTCCTCTGCCTTGCCATGCTTTGGGACTGCAGATTGGGGGTAGGTGTGGACTTCAGAAAGTGGGGGAAGAAAATTCCTACTCCAGCCCCCCCATAATGGTGAGCAAGGAGACTGTGTGTGTGGGGGACGTGGGAGATGTGTGTATATTTCCACTCATGCACATTTGGGGGGCGCAGGGAAAAGGGAGTTAAAAGTCCTACAGATGGACGGTTCTGAGGAATAACCCCCTAATGAGTCTGTGGCTTCCCTGGGCTGGGCTAAGCGGGAGGGGCCGGCTCACCTTGAGAAGTGGGTTGGGGATCCGGTCTTCATCTACCTCTGAGGGGAACAGGGAAAGGAGAAAGTGATGAGGATGGAAACCCAGGGGGTCCCCACAGAGCTGACTTTCCAAGGGGAGGAGCCTGTGCAATCACTTTCTTTCTGATCTGCCCCTCACATCTGCCCCCAGGAAGTCAGCCCTGGTGGCTGCCCCAGGCCTACTCCCTCCAACTCGCTCCTGCTCTGCCAGCTGGCTTTACCCTGTAGCCAGTCCTGTCCTTGACCCTGTACAGGTCCATCTGTGTCTACGTCCTTGCCTCAGACCTGGAGGTTCCTGAAGGCAGGATTTGTGGTTCCTTTGCTCTTTTCCTCCCTCCGAAGTATCCATATCTCTTTCTCCTTCCGTTCATTCTCCCCACCCCAAGTCCAGAACTGAACCCTACACAGGAGGGAACATTGGAAAAAGAACAGCAAGTTTATCCTGGGCAGGGGCCAGGGAGGTACAGTCATTTTTGGTTGTTGGAGGAAAGCCTGAGACTCCGGCATCCTGAATCCCCGTCCAGCTCGTTCGCATGACCACCTCCAGCCCACTCTCCTGTCAAGCTTCCCTGACATTCTCTGAGACCCTGATGGGGACACTGGTGACCAGAATGCCAGCTGCTCCCTGAGCTGTTTCTAACCTTTCCCTTCCCCTCTGGGGGCTGTGAAGATAGTTGATGGAGGCGGTCCCTCCCCCTCACAGCTGTCACCGCCTCTGGGGGTGGGGGCCGCAGCCGGCTCAGTTGCTGGAGAAACCTGGAAGGCTGTTGCACAGCAACCACCGCTGTTGACCACCCCAGTTCCTGGGGGGCTTGGGAACCCTCCCCTTCCTAGCATGGCTCCATCTTCCCAAAGCAACGAAAATCCTCTTGGTAATCCGGCCACCGCTTTCCTGACTCCAGGATTGAAGACATCTCTGGCTTCTCAGCTCTGCACTTCTTCTAACTAGCACCCACCTTCTCTCACCAGACCCAGCTGTCTTCAGCAGCCCCCACTCCCTTCAGCAACCCATCCCTGGGGTTACCTGGGGATGACTGGTCACTGGTCAGCACAAGGGTGGCAGGGGTGGGGCGGCGCCTCCGAATCTGAGGGAAGAGGTGAAGTACACGTGGAAGCATCAAAGCCCCA